CGGCAAAAGTTGAAAATGCTGTCGCTGATGCAATAACCAATTCTCTGAAATAACTTGGCGCTGGCGTGTTGGAAGTGACTTCCTAGTAATAAACTTCAAGTCTTGCTTTCCAAATCCTTATTATTTATTATTGTTCCCATGGGTTCCTAGTGGAACATAGGGCTTCAACTGTACGTCTCCACTTGACACTTCTGTCTTCTGCTGCTGTACTTTTCACCTGCATCCATGTCAGTCCATACTCTTTCAACTCCTCTTCACACGATCTCCTCCATGTCACACTTGCACCGACGACCCACTCGATTCTTCCCTTTCGCCTTCCATTTGAGCGATGGCCTGACGCGCGCACGATGTCACCCAGCTGTCTCCTCAGCGAATGTCCGATCTAACTCAATCCACTTTCTCCTGCATATATTTTGGTTGGCGATTGGTTTTTTCTCGCTTTGTTTGTTCCCATAGTTTCTTGTTGGTGATTCTCTCCGGCCCGGCCATCTGATCTTCAGTATAGATCTAGCGAAGACAGTTGTTGATAAATGTCTGGTCTGCAACAGGCTGTTGGAAATATTCTTTGTGACCCTCCCATCAAGTTTCTGATCCGTATAGAAGAACTGACTGACTTTACGTTTGTATTGGAGATCCGAATTCCCAAACCCTAGCCAGCTTTAAAATCCTTAAATGTACCAACTCTAGTTGATTAAAAAGAATTTCTTCCCCTAGATCTTCCGCGTTGATGGTGATTGATGCTTATTGTTATTGGTCAGGTGTCTTCACTATCTCTGTCTTCCCTGCGTTCACTTGTAGTCATGGTTTTCGCTTCTACGTTTTCAAGTTTTTGCGATGTTAGACATAAACTATCGTCGAAATTTAAATCTTCCATTGTTTTTTATCAGTCCAACGTATCCCTGTCTTCTCTCTCCCTTCGGCTCGCCGCACGATTCAGTCCACCACAATGAGAAATCCAGTCGATGAGACAGTTGGTGGTCTTTTCTTATTCCTGCCCTTACTTCAAACCCTTCGCTAAGCTTCCTGTTTTGGATGAATTGCCCTGGTGCATCATAGTTGTAGGCGTAAAGAATTGGTAATCATTTGCCGTTCTTATGATTACGTATATTTAGCTTCATGTAGACTGATCAAATATAAAATAAGAGAGAATATATGAGCTATAACATTAATTTATCGAAGTCAAAACTATGAAGACATTCAGTGTACTGACAGAAATGTTTATTTAAAATCCTGTTATATATGCACATCTCATTGTTAGAACGGTAATGAAATCGATTGGTACACTAATACGCCTATTCGTCCATTGTACCTTCCGCTTCATTGAATCACTCAAATATCAAAAGACAAAGGTTGGCCTGTGACATCATAGAGAAGATTTGCAGCTCAGGTGGATGATTTTGATGTGGTTGTGTTCTCTAAATTTCATGGTTTATTTGCGAAGCTTTCATCACCCTACTGGGTGACATCTTCAGCGCATACATCAATTCTCTGAAGTGAGCTTTTAGATTTCTCCAAGAGTTTATTAATCATCTCTCCTGGTGACTTTGGACGTGATTGGTTGCTTTTGTGTGTTTTCACATCTTCCAGATTACTTGCATTGGAACTGATTGTTTCTTTGACTTGAACTTTGACCCTTTGTGTGTGAGGTTTCTTTCTTATCGGTTGATAAATTTTATCTATCTCGATGTATCTATTGATTGATGATTCACTGGAATACCAGGTATGCTTCTAAAACTTCTCTAGCATTCTTGTTGTTTCCTCTGTCTAATATTTGGGCGTTGGTTGTCCCAGTCGAATATACCCCCAAGCCAACCTATCAAACCAAAAGCCTCCAAGGAAAGCACAAAGAGAATCGTCTTACAATATATAAAGGATATCTCAGAAATCGCTACAAGACTCTTCCAAACCTTTAGGAATTGACGTTGTACACAAACCAATAAAGTCACTTCACTCAATTCCATGTCAACCAAAAAACTTGGCATTCCAGTGAATCATCAATCAATAGATACATCGAGATAATCAAAATTTATCAACCGATAAGAAAGAAACCTCACACACAAAGGGTCAAAGTTCAAGTCAAAGAAACAATCAGTTCCAATACAAGTAATCTGGAAGATGTGAAAACACACAAAAACAACCAATCACGTCCAAAGTCACCAGGAGAGATGATTAATAAACTCTTGGAGAAATCTAAAAGCTCACTTCAGAGAATTGATGTATGCGCTGAAGATGTCACCCAGTAGGGTGATGAAAGCTTCGCAAATAAACCATGAAATTTAGAGAACACAACCACATCAAAATACTTGTGTTTTTATTAGCAAACAACACATCATATTTATACATTTTCTTTACAACAATATAGTCGTTTCACAGTTGTGAGAAATGATTGATCGCACACATATGAAATCACAATAGGCTTGAGAAAGGATGATATACAATTTTTATACTGGTTCCTATCACTAACTGTTTAGCGTTCCGGTAATGGTATCGACAACTAAAGTTTGCCATTTATGAGCGGTTTTGAAATCCACTTGAATCAGTTACCTCAAATACGCATGCAGATAATAGATAATAAAAGATTATTTAAACCACCACTTTTCAGTAACTTATTTTCATTGATGGTGAGTACTGATGAGGAGCCCCAAACTAGGACGAAACAGCTGGCTGTCCAGTACTACCAGGTTTTCCAATGGTCCTCTAACCAATGCCAATTCATGATGAAATCCTGTAACCAATCAGTCAAATCCCTACCAACTAACACTTGAATAATTGAAAATGTTTGGAACGGAATGTTGAGATAAATCAGATGTATTGGAGAAGATTTGTAGCTCAGTTGGATGATATTGAGTTAGTTGTGTTCTCTGAGCTGGTTGATTCAGTTGCGAAGCTTTCGTCACCCTTCGAGACAACATCTTCAGGGCAGGTTTCAGTTTGGAATGAACTTATTTAAGTTCTCCGTAAATGATATAACTGTATCTCCTGGCAACCGCTGTCGTGACTGGTTGTTAATTTACATCCCTATTGGTTATTTTTATTGAACTGGAATTCAAACTTTCGTGTCGTTTGATTTACTTTTTATTAGTTGGTAAATTTGGTCTGTAGCAATTTGTTTGTTAATCACTGATTAACCTGAGTACCAGGCTTCTAGAAATTCCCTGGCATTTATAGTGTTTCCTTTATTTAAAATTTCTATATTATCCCAATCAAACTAGTAGCCATAATTATCTACATGCATTGATACGAAAGAATGTATATCATGTCTTTTTACAGCCAATTTGTGTTCCTGGATTCAGATTCGAAGGGGACATCCACTCTGACCGATGTAATGTCTGTTACAGTTCATACAGTTTATTTTGTAAATGGTATTGATTTTAACCTCGTCTAGTTAACCAGCTCGCTAGTTTTCTAGCCGGCCTGCAAGCCCGGGTAAAGAGGGAGGTTTGGGCATGGGGCTAGCAATCCCACACCACTAAATCTTTCAAACCACTAGGGAAACTTAAACACATGGAAAATATATTAAAAATACAAAAACTTCAAATCAAAATCTTATTCTTTGCTGGAATTAGAGAGACGAAATGACACAGTAGGCTAGTGAAAGCCAGCCTTCGGAAAGCCAGTCAGCCCATGTGTCGATGTCTCGATGAAAGCAAGAGTAAGAATGGGTACGTGGAATGTCCGTTCAATGTACGAAACTGAGAAGGCGACCCAGGTAGCGATAGAGAAGTGATGGGCATCTACGAAAGGAGATGGAATGGATGTGGATTGACGACAATGTCAATCGGAGAGTGAGTAATCTACTTCAGTCACCAGATGACAACCACGAAAACACTGACTCAGTGGATGGCTATAGTGATGTCACCAGTGGCAGCCAAAGCTTTAATGCAGTGGGAACCAATTTCATCCAGGATCAGGACAGCAAGATTCAACTCAAAAGGAAGGAAGGTAACAATTATCCAATGCTATGCACAGTACTACAAACAACGCGGAACCTGAGAAGAAGGAGAAGTTTTACAGATAGCCACAAACAGTAATGAACAACATCCCAGATGGTGATATCGAAATCCTCATGGGAGATATGAATTTTCAAACTTGGGAGCAGATAATACAGGAAGAGAATTCCTTATGGGTCGACAGGCTGTCAATCGGCGAATTGCATGAGAACGCGGAATCATTCGCAGACTTCCGTTCTTCTGGCGATTTGGTGATAGGAGGGAGAGTATATAAATACAAGTGTATGCACAAGACAACATGGATTTCGGCTGACGGACAAACCGCAAACGAAAAAGATTTCATATCACTCTTAAGGATGTGGAGACGTAGCCTCCTGGGTACAAAGTCAAGAAGAAAGCAGACGTTGTCTCAGACCATTATCTAGTTCAAGGAACCTTCAGGGTGAAGTTGAGATCCATGAAAACAAATGGAGATAGACCGCAATTCAAGTTTCACATTCAGAAACTGAAGAACAAAACTACGAGGGATGCCTTCGCCACAGATATCAGTGTTCAATCAAAGACCACTGTAAAATTCCGTCAACACATACTTTCTCTGGCTTGATAATAGAGAGAGAAAGACCTACCAAAGGCGTTATCAACAAGGAATTCTGGAAAGGAAAAAGCTCTAAAATGGAGCTGGATTCCGAATAGGCTGAGAGGATACTCAAGTGGAACCCGTATGCTAAACGAGCAGTGGGACGTTATGTGGAAGCGACCATGTGAGGAGGAGGTAAAAGTTCATGGAAAATGTGGGGTGCCAGCTGAGAAAGACTTCATAGGACAGAGTGAAATAGATACGTGCTGCTGAATCCCTATGTTCTGTTCGCAACCCTAGGGAATAATAGTAATAATAATTGGTGAAGTAAAAAGACTTAACGTCAATGTGAATATGTTTATTTCTTATTAGTACACATAGACTGTCACTTCTACTATCACTAAATTCATCAAACTAAGAAATACTGAACATATAACATAGTATAATATCATTATAAAAATCTATTACAATACTTGATTGGTTTTATATAATTATTCCCATAGAATAGAGATAAAAGTGAATCAGATTGTCTAGGACATGGAACATATAAATCCATAAATAAACATTTCGACAAAGGGAATATATAATTTAAAGGATAGTATTTTATTCCATTAGTTTCACCGTTATATACTTCATCAAATATACCAAAGTCAATTAATTCACCATGCGTGTTTAAACGCAATTCAACACGTGCTGAAAATAAGTCTAAAAATGTAAATTTACTAAGAACTATTCTTGCCACTGGTAGACAAAATGAACACTCGTCAATTCCTATTGGAACTGGATAACCATAACAACTGGTTCGTGATCCTCTGTCATATACACAGTAATTACCTGGACGTGTCACAATTCTAAACTATAAAATACCAAAGGGTAAAAATGTGATTATTATTTTATCACTAATGATAAACGTAATAAGTAGTATGAAATTATTCTACGTTTTTGTTTTTACTCAAGAACGATGAAATACAGTAGTCGTCTGCATATCAGATTAAAGTTGAAACACATGGTTGATACTACATTCATCCTTTGTGAAAATGATTTGAATATGAACGCAGTAATATCTCAATTCAATGAAGTACATTGAAATATCAAATACGTGTGTGAAGAAGAATCCAAAAGTAAAATTGTCTTTCTACAGGTCCTGCAAACAAGAAGACCAGACGGCGGTATAAAAAGGAATCGGCATAAGAAAAGTACATCCATCGGTCAGTATAAACACTTTCACAGATTTACTCCTCTCCATTGTAAAAGAAATTTGATAAACACCCTCAGCTATAGGATTAGAGGTATTTGTTCCGAAGATGTTATTGAAGATGAATTTAAGGTTGTATACGACACACTAATTGAAAACCCCCTATACTGCAAGTTCATCTCTGGACACATGGCCGAGAGAGTACAAAAGGACTCTTCTGTATCTCTATGCCCATATATATATATATATAAATGACTACAACTCAAAGGTGATGTGATCAGTGAAATAATAACCAACCAGTTGAGAAAATCAATTCAAATAATGTTTCACGATGGTAAGCTGCAGCTCATATCTCCCGTACAATCTGTTGTAATTCCGAAACTGTGAAAGATGAAGTATCTAGGCTAGCCAACTCTAAGTGTATCCATCAATTCAGTTGCTACTGTGCAGCCAGTTTTGTTAGCTGTTGTTCTACGAACTTAATTTTGTCGATCTGTGGAACAGCCGCTAGAGTGACTAAATAAAAGCGTAGTAAAAGCCATCATCAGTTCGATATTATATCACCTCGTCCAAACAGGCTACAAAGCTAGCTGCATTGGAGATTCTTTCTCTATCATCTATCTGGTATTAAATAAATTACCAAAGGCCTCTATATACTGGAATTTCCGAACAGGAGAGAATACTGAAATTTGCTTAAATCGACCGGAGCTCTATGTACAAAAGAAACAGGTCCACTCAGTCGCTATCGCTACCCTGGCCTGCTGTAGGACCTATCAGTTCATAAATTCTGTCTTGCTTCCTCTAGATTATCTGATATTTTGGTGCTTATTATCTCTTACAGGTGCTTCTGAGATGTAATTTAACGATCCTATTGATCCAATGTAATTTAAAACAGCATTAATGTTGCTAATAATTCTTTAATTATTATATATTATTATTATTGCTCCGTTGGGTTCCTAGTGGAACATAGGGCTTCAACTGCACGTCTACACTTGACACTTCTGTCTTCTGCTGCTGTACTTTTCACCTGAATCCATCTCAGTCCATACTCTTTCAACTCCCCTTCACACGATCTCCTCCATGTCACACTTGCACCGACGACCCACTCGCCGCTTCCCTTTCGGCCTGGTTCCACTCCAGCAATGGCCTGACGCTCGCGCGATGTCACCCAGCGGCCTCTTCAGCCAGTGTCCAATCCATCTCAATCCACTTTCTCCTGCATATATTTTGCTCGGCGATTGGTTCTTGTTTTGTTTGTCTGTGCCCATAGTTTCTTGTTGGTGATTCTCTCCGGCCCGGCCATCTGATCTTCAGTATAGATCCAGCGAAGACAGTTGTTGAAAAGGTCTGGTCTGCAACAGGCTGTTGGAAATGTTCTTTGTGACCACCCGCCAAGTTTCTGATCCGTATAGGAGAACTGACTGACTTGACGTATATATTGAAGATCCGAATCATCCACTGGCGAAATCCAGGTCTTCTAGGTTCTTCACGTCGGTCGGTCCAGGATAATCCTGTCTTCTCGTTTCTCACTGTCTGACACATAATCCAGGCCACCACAATTAGGAATATCATTGGTGATAATAAGCATGCACCCTTGTCTGACTCCTGTGTTTACTCCAAACGCCTTGGTGAGTTTTCCGTTGTGGATCACTTGACATGTGCCGTCGTTGTCTTACAGCTGTTGAATAAGGTTGATGAATATTTGGGGTACGCCGTAGTACCCGAGTAGTTTCCAAATAACGGACATAAAACTAGAACGCCTGATGAAGAAACTATTGAAAAGAGTATCCTTTTTTCGCTAATGAGCCTTAGTTAATGGTCTATGATCTCTGAATTACAGATTATGCGTGAATAAAAAAGGGATAATATTCGGTTAAAAAATAAGTCCAGTGGGTTACATCACATAAGTCAGAAGTTATGCTTCATCTTATCTAGACCAAGCTAATAGATGGACCTGAAAAAAATATAATAATTGAGCAAAGAATATCATTTTCGATAATTTCCTCTTCCGACTCTACTTTTATATATATATATATATATATATATATAACATATCGGCATATATATATATCTTCGGATTTTCAATACAAACGTCAAGTCAGTCAGTTCTCCTATACGGATCAGAAACTTGGCGGGTGGTCACAAAGAACATTTCCAACAGCCTGTTGCAGACCAGACCTTTATCAACAACTGTCTTCGCTGGATCTATACTGAAGATCAGATGGCCGGGCCGGAGAGAATCACCAACAAGAAACTATGGGCACAGACAAACAAAACAAGAACCAATCGCCGAGCAAAATATATGCAGGAGAAAGTGGATTGAGATGGATTGGACACTGGCTGAGGAGGCCGCTGGGTGACATCGCGTGAGCGTCAGGCCATTGCTGGAGTGGAACCAGGCCGAAAGGGAAGCGGCGAGTGGGTCGTCGGTGCAAGTGTGACATGGAGGAGATCGTGTGAAGAGGAGTTGAAAGAGTATGGACTAACATGAATTCAGGTGAAAAGTACAGCAGCAGAAGACAGAAGTGTCAAGTGTAGACGTGCAGTTGAAGCCCTATGTTCCACTAGGAACCCAAGGGAGCAATAATAAATAATAATATATATATATATGTGCTTATATACATAGAATATTCTAGAATGCTAGTCAATAACAATATTAGTTTTTTTTCAAATAATATCGATTTTTAAATTAAGGTCAGTGGAATTACAGTTCAATAAATATGCCTAAATTTTAATAACAATAAAGATATAGTAGCAAATAGAAAAGTCCCACAAAATTTCATGATCTTTCAAACCTAGATGGCCAAGGTAAGGATAATGTCTTAACTAACTTCTTTTGCACGAACAAATTAGACTTCTTGATATTGATCTTAACAGCCTCAGCAATATTTAGTAGTCGAACTCTTAAGGCAAAACTGAGATTTGTTGGTATGCGGTAAATGATGGTGAAAGCATGGTTAACGCCAATTTTGTGTTCTGTCTCCACAAGATGAGATAGAATAGCACTTTGAGTAGATTTTGTCTGTCCTTTACTTAATAACATAGGGTGATGTTCGGAAATTCGACGAGAAACACGCCTCATTGTACGGCCTTTGTAACTGGCTCACTCCACAGGAGCAGTTAAATTGGTAGATACATATGGAAGGGGCGAAATCAGGCAGTTTGTCTTTTACTCCCGAACGCAAAAGAGGAGTAGTTTTGAAGACACACAGCGTAATTCGGCAGCAGGGAATGCCCTTTTTACTGCATTCTAAGGCGCTGTGTTAGTATCTCGCTGATGTTGTCCCCAATGAACTGCATTTGTAAGAATAAGGCCTTTTTTGGAAATGTTGGTAACTTGGGCAGCTTTGATTTTCGATTCATATTCTTATCAATAAACTTTTCTGGATAACCATTTTCAATTAGCAACCGTTTAATATCATTAAGTTTCTCATCAAGACATGCATCCAAGCAGATTGCTGTTGCTCTGTGAACCAAGCACTTTATCAGATTGTCCTTGTATTTCAAAGGGACACGAAGCTGGTGTTGTTAATAGCACTAATTCACTGACTATTATGCATGTAACTGTAGAACCTGATGATGAAGTTATCCAAAAGAGTATTCTTTGTTCAGTAGCCATTCTTTTAAAACAATGATTCGACCGAACAATGTGCAACAAATCTACAATAATAAATTTAGTGATTAAAGTAGTGATGTGGCCTGTTACTCCTTAATTAACTTTTTCGATATACTTTTGGTTGGACTAAACACTATGAAGACGTGACGCATTACCTGTTTGACTCAAAGGAAGGTGCTTTGAAACCTGTGGCACACTAGTTACAATTACCTTTCATGCATAGTTAAGTCACACTAATAGTAATACTAGTTTTAGTGTAGTTTCCTTCAGCACACATTTAATAATCAATTATGCTTTACATTGTAAATATATAACTTACATTTCCTGAAGGAGACTGCTTTGATTCATCTGCCAGTTTTCTTATGATTGGTTCATATGTGTCTAAGACAGCCACATCCACATCATGATCATATGGGATAATGTCATTATTTCTAAAGAGGGAAAAGTAATTCATAAGTACACCGGAAAGTTATTACGATTAGATTTAACAAAACATTAATTAAGCAGACCATAGTGAGTAGGTTTTTTGATTTGTCTAATTGAGTGAATTCCAGTATAGAACTATTCAAAGAGGTGAGGCAGTTCAACTTGTCACACTCCATGTAGTACACAAAGGTAGAAAGAAGAGACTAGGAAGAGTTATAACGAAAAGAAATGTGCGGGAGAAAGATAATTGACATGAAAAAGTATATCGGTATGATGAGTACTGCAGAACATAAAGAGTGAATGCATATGAAGCACTGAGAACGATTTTGAGCCATGCCACCAATAGTAGTCTCTAACCATTGGTTCTTAACACCTCCAACGTCTCCTTCCAGAGAGTTTACAACTCCCTACCTGGCTGAAATCAGTTGTCAAGGACTTCATGAACTATTGCCAAGTTTTTATTTGATTATACTTAAATCTTTTCAAAACTAATTCTTTGTCAGCTACTATTGCTCGTCGACGAAGGCGGTGGCTTGGCATGACTAATGCGTGTTCTGGCCTTCTCAATAGCTGTAGCTTCAAAACCTCATTCGTTGACGTAATGTCTTTACCAAATGATACACCAACCTTTCATATTGTTTACCACAACACACCACTTGGTGTGGGAGACGGCAAACATTCATGGTCAGAGACAACTTCTCCTGCTTTTAATGGTCATTTTTCACAGCCACAAAGAAGGGTAGAGCGAATCGCTGAGTAGCGAGCATGTCTTTTGATCGACAGCAGGATATCATATTTACTGCAGAGATGACGCTAGTCGGCAGACGTCTCACGAACCTTTTTCATTCAGGATGAGATTTTGTTAACAACCAGTCGATTAGGGCTGGTGCAGTTTCCCCCAAAAGTGAAGTAGTTAACATGTTCTACTGATTCACTTCCAGTCTTTAAGCTAGGAGTCGGTGTATTCTAGCCATACAAAGTCATCTTACAATTGATGGCAAACATTGGAAGGTTCCTGTTCAAGGTGTTCAGTGTCTTCGTCTCATAGACCAAAATCATCTACATAATGAGAGTGTTACTGGGCAACGGTCAACCCACCAAGCCTCTGAGTCAGTTAAGGTCAACACTAGTTACTAGTGTCCAATCAAGGTACCCACTACAGTCATACAGGAGGTCAATCGAGAGCCCGAATAGCTCAGTGGTAACGGCTGTGACTGCAGCACTGGGTGACGCAGGTTCGAATCTCAGAAGGGTTGCAGATACACCTTTCTGACTGTTTCGTGCCAACTAGCACGAAACATGGACCAAGCAAGGCTCCCTGCCGATTGCCTCCAACCATGTAATATCATCGAATCAATGTGCACCGTGTCATCGGAAATCACCAACTTCGATGGGCAATTTCACCTGAAAATTACATAATAAAACATTGAATAGTTGAGTTTAGGACAAAACAGTTAATGGACAAACATACCTTATTGATCCCAACAATGTTCCAAACGTTATCCACCATATAATTTTATATTTTTCAGCTATACTTATCCATTCTTTCAACAAACCGTATAATTTTTTGCGTTTTCCATTACTTAATTTACAAGTCATACTTTCATATTTATGTTTATAACGCGGGATAAATTATACTTTGATGGTGTATCCGGTAGTTGACCTGCTGGTGAATTCCTCCGACTGTATACTTTAGGCATGGAACCAAGTGAATTCAATTCATTCAAACAATAATTATAATCAAAGTTCATTGTACAGCAATCATGTCTGCTAATAGTTTTATTTAATTCTTTATGAAATTGACATAATTGTTTGATAATATAATCATAGGCATTTCTCATATATGTTGTGGCTTTTTGATTATTATATTCTATGGTATTTCTTGATTCAAACGGGAATAAACGTTGTATATGAGTAATATTTTTAATAATAATTTCATTATTTATTCTTTTTTCACTTATATCTAATTTATATTTACAGCATATTTCCTTTTTCTTCATCGTATAACCAACATCATTATTGTTCAATGTCCAATACATTATGCTAATATAGATAATTAAAACAAACAGGATTATCGCGCGGTTGATGAGATGATTGAACATTTAGTAATGAATGAGTAATTTACTAAACTTCCTTTATATTTTATTATTGAAGTTAATTAAGCACTTGTTAATCACAAACACAAATGGCTGGCCTTGGTAGATTTTTAAATCTGTCAGTAATCGATAGATCTGATTCCTATTTCTCATACTCATGTAGACTTAATATAGACGACCGTTTGTACATTCTTCTATATACATAATATATGCTTATATATCAGATTTCATTATCAGGAAGGAAGGTTTCGAAAAAACACCTAGAGTAATTTATGAATTAACACGATAATATCACACCAAAATGGTGTGAGATCTTGAGCCATTAAAAGAAATTGAACATTGCTTTATTCGTTTTAAACTGAAATTACATGGAACACTGGTCATAACAAGGAATTTATATCAACTTGCAATACATTTATGTATGTATATGTGTGTTTCAAAATTATGTTGCACGTTTAATGCATTGATCTGTGTGAAATGTTACTCTCAAGAGCAGATATTTTTTTCCAGACTTCATTGAGCAGTTTGTGAGCAATTTGATTAATTCAGTTACTTATTTCAGTCGGGCAGTAGTATATAGTGCCATGAATTTATTCTTTCTTTCTTGATTTCCACTCATGATGTTAAGCAGATCACATACTGCAATCTGAATATTTTCGGATTGAAAATAAAACTGTGAAGTGAGGTCTCTCCTCCGAATGCATAAACTGCATTTGACTGAGTGTATTGCCATTTTGCCAAAGTAGACAACCAGGATAATCGTAGTTCGAATTGATTCGGCTTTCTAAGTTGAGTCGGAGAGGACAAACAGCTGGTGAGACTGGTCTCAAATGAGCGAAACAGCCAACCGATGTTCAGAGCAAATTGATCTGACTAGAATGCAGAACTCGTTGGTGTGGGTGTTATCTAACTACTCATTTCGTTCAGTCAGTAGTATGTAGAATCACAGTTAATATTGTGGCAGGAGAACACAGAGGTATTTATTTGTCAAAATGATCCTCCGTTATGACGGAATACATATACTTCGTCTAAACTCTCCCTGTCACTCTGTTATTAAAGAATCTTGGAAAAGACATCACATGCAATATACTACTTGTAAACATTTATCCGTAGCATACGTGGCGATTTAATAATAATAATAATTTCATCACTATCATTGTCTACAGAACAACTTATAAATAAGGTCCATTCATTAATAATGTGTTCATTCTTTAATTCGGAAATCCAAATGAATTTGAAAGGAAATTATTTTATTATGCTCAGAGAGCCAGTGTAACTCCAACTACTGGTGTGGAATGAAACTAATCCCAATTCAGAGTAGTTTTCATTACTCAGAAGAATCTACCAATTTATGTAGTGGTATAAGTTTTCATTACTGAATTCATTGATACCAGATATCCTTAGAAATTTATGGAACGTGGTGTTTAATCACCTGTAAGCTGTGAATTACTAATCAGTTAAAACTTAACTGATGGATTCCCGATGAATGGAAGACTTTTGTAACATAAATCAGCAGAGAGATCAACTTTCGTAGCTTCTCTGAATAGCTGTCCAGTTGTTCAGGGGGTTATATATATACAGTTTAGATAGACAATAGATTTCAGAAGTTGTTGTCAGTTACTGATAGCCACGTTGACCTGGTTTATAACTAGAAACGTGTGAAAAGTAGTAGGCAGTCTTACGTAGACAAAGGGGTTGACAACTAGATAGTCATTTGGAAATAACTGTAAAACGGAACACGAGAGCAAAGGAGTAAAATCCGGTCACAAAAATGAAAACAGGAATGCATGAAGTTTACTATGCATTAGTTCGAGAAAATAATATTGATACTAAGTCCATGGTAATGAAAGAGGCCGCACAAAATATTCCGGAACACCAAGTTTAGGTTTTCCTTTGTGGATTGCTGTAGTTTCGGCTACATGAGGGAGGTGTAGGTGAAATCTTTTTGAATAGCCTCTCTTGGTGTTGTGTGACTACAGTTTATACACTACGGAATCGAGCTGCTGGCTGTTGTGCCTTCTCCTTTCTACACACATGTTGGTTGGTGTTCACGAGCACATCTTGGCAATGTCCTGATATAATCAGATTATTGTCATCTCTAAGCTTCAGAGGAAATATCCCCATAAATATGTCAGTATTTAGGTTTTGCATGTTTTATTTTGTCTCTGTTAATTATGATCTACAGACGACATTCATTCATTCATGGGCAGAGTACTTTCAACAGAGCAAGTCATTCGTGATTTCTAGGCTTAGTAGCGCACAAGTGAACTGCCGAGAAATATCTGACAAGTGTATTTAGATATGAAACAGCCCTTTCAAATTTAATAAAGGCTGAAACGTTGTATCCATTGCAATTAGGCTATAGTATATTCTTCATATGCTGCGCGTAAGTTGACAGAAAATCGTCGTAGGGACTGAAAAAGTGGAATATAAATAGAAAGTATGGCAGCTTTAGAGTTGATAGTTCGCTGATAGAATGCCCGCCAAACAAGCACGCAGTTTGGTTTTCATTCCCGATCGACCCACTACCACACCGCGCCTGACCAATAGTAAATCAGTGTAAAGGTAAGGCTAGGCATGAAGCTAGTGACTTCACCTCATATAAACAACACCACTACCACGGAAATTTCAAAGCTCACTCTTGAAATTCTACTTTTCAAGCAGAATGCAAAGGAATGGAAAAAAAGAAAAAAGGACATTTTCTTGATTAAATGTGTTTCTTCCTATAAGGTATCTCACGTATCTTGCTATTTCAAGCGATTATTATTATTATATCCTTTAATCCCTAGGGGAACATAGGGTTTCAGCTGCGCACCTCCATTGCCTTCTGTTTTCTGCCAACGTTTTCACTCCGCTCCAAGTCTGCCCACATGCTTTCATCTCCCCCTCACATGACCTCCTCCAAGTCACCCTTGCACTGAAGACCAACTCGCCGCTTCCATTTCGGGTTCCACTCGAGCAATGGCTTGTCTAGTGATGTCACTTGATGGTTTCCTCAGAGTATGGCCAATCCATGTCCATTTCTTCCTGCCTATTTGTTTCACAATCGGTTCCTGGTTGGTTGGCTGATTGCCAGAGATCCCTGTTGGTGATCTCCTCTGACCGGCCATCTGATCTTGAGTATTGAGCGAAGACAACTGTTAATGAATCTCTGTAGTTAGTGTGAAGTGCTGTTTATGACTCGCCAAGTCTCTGATCCGTGTAGTAGCACTGACTTAATATTGGATTTGAAAATCCAGATCTTATTTTTGATGTTGTGTTCCGTTTACCTCCACACAGACTTAAGAGTAATGAAAGCCTGTCTTGCTTTTTCGATTCTGGCTTTTATATTCTCGTCACTTCCTTTCGCCTGTGGTTGATACGATGCTTCCCAGGTCGGTAGGTAAAGGAGGTTGTTTCTTTCAGGTTCCTCCCATTTATGCTGGCTGATTGTTGTCTGTTCTTGTTGCCGTTGGTGTTGGCCAGGAATCTTCTTCACCTCTGTTTTATCTATGTTCAACTAAAGTCCTAACTTTTATGGATGCTTCTTCTGCCAACTTGTTGCTTTTCACTTGCATATCTTCCAATTTGTGGGAAATCAGACATTAATCACTGACGAAGTCCAGATCCACCAAGTTTTTTGTGTGAGTCCATTTTATGCCTGTTTCCTCATTGCCGGCCGTTGTCTGTCACATTATCCAATCTACTGCAATCAGGAAAATCGTTAGTGATAGTAGACAGCCTTGCCTCACTCCCGTCCTCACTTCGAAGGTTTCCTTAATTTTCCCGTTGTGGATTACTTGTCATGCAGCGTTGTCGTACAACAGTTGAGTGAGGTGAACAATTGTCGATGGCACACCGTAGTAGCGAAGTAGTTGACAAATGATCTCTCGATTGACGCTGTCAAAGGCCTTTTCAAAGTCGATGATGTTGAGATAGCGAGGTGACTGCCATTCCAAGGACTGCTCAATGATGATCCGTAGTGTGCCGATTTGATCAATACATGATTTGTTTCTCATGAATCCAGCTTGTTCCGGTCGGAGTTTTGCATCCAGGATTTGTGTGATTCTCTTCAGATTCCAAGCGACGTCTAAGCTAAATACTTACAGTCTGAAGTGTTTAAATCTGCTGGAGGAGCTGTGGCTTACACGGCGAAACGTTCAGAAAAATCTTGTTTTGATTTTCTTTATACGCTGGGATTAATTAAAATAATTAATAATAATTGCTATAGTTACGTTTAGCTACTTACAAAAGGAGAAGTAGCTTGTTAGGTACAACACAATAATGACCCATATCTCGAGCTCTGAAGTGGGCAAGAACGACTGAGTGATTTCCGGTATGAGCAGGTAACTAAGCGTATGTTTCCCGAACGTCTGGAAGATTTCATCATTTGTAGGTATCAGCTTTACGCGGAATTATATCTGCAAATATTCGCCTTTTACTACGTACACTGCAGAGTAGCAGATTGCCCTTAAGCTCTCATTTTCTATTCACATGATCCCCTTCATGTCACTCTCGGACACCTGACTCACTGCTTCCTATTCGGGACCCGCTGGAGAGCTTGGACAGTACGTGATATCACTAAATGGTTTCATCAAAGCGTATCTAGCTCATCTTCGTTTTTCAAAGCATATTTGTTGGTTAGTAATTCGGTTACAGGATTTCATCATGAGCTGACATTGGTTAGAGAACCATTGGAAAAGCTTAGAGTACTGGACAGACAACTCTTTCGTCCTGTTTTCGAATTCTTCATACGTACGCGCTGATCACCAGGACTCGAACCCAGGACTTTCTGGTTACAAGGCGAGTGACCCCGTAGGCCATTAAGCCACTAAGACCCGTTGTAATGGTCAGCCCATGAGTTCTAACTTCCGCCAAATCACGACATAAGGCAACCGCTAGTCGATGTCTTTGACGAGTATTTGTCCTCACACCCTACCTGCTGCACCCTGCTGGTCACGACTTATCATTTGAACCCAGGTAAATACCTATCTGAATAGGGCAAGTCACTAGTGAGCATCTCATTGATATTCAAGTATTGGTTTGTAGGGATTTGATTGATTAGTATACAATTGGTGCATTCCACTGCT